ATATTTTGAATGGAAATATCGCCAGTTAACATGGATAGTACCTCTGCAAAATACGCACCTAACAACCTTTTTGCGACGGACGCGCCCTCAGGCGCGTTCAGAGCTAAGTCATCTACACATGGGATTTCGTTGGCTACAATCGCGCAATGTGTCCTAAACCAATTAACAGCCCAAGAAATAGTACATGAATTTGATCCTTCAAAACTCCCATACTTTGTCTGGATATCTTAATGTCTTACATATTTAGCCTTTTCAATTTCAAATTAAGTTATTCAAGTTAAAATATGAACGTATATTATTGATAAAAACGTTGTAGTCCCGTAGTATTATTGCGCAATATGCAAATTACTGCTGAAACGATTTACCGCTGTCGAAAAAGTAGGACAGCAAATTATACTACAATAAAGGTGTAACCTCTGAGTTCCAAGACATTATTAGTAGGAAATAAATATTTCTACATTATACAAAACATTATTATTAACAAATCAAAAGTTTTTCGTGACTCTAGGATAACTCGCGCATTAATAAAAGAAGAACTATTTTCGTGACTCGATCATACCGCTGGTTTAGCTGAATATTCAGCAGTTATTAATATATTAGATACAGTACAATGGTTAGTATAAATATCTATTTTTGAAAATGCATGTAAGACACTTTACCGCCATGTAGTCTTTCATGGTAAGGAAGTTATAATATCAGTTCTACTTCCGATTCTTGTGGTTTGTTTACATATTTTACTAGGTCATGATATGAGTTAACCTTCGCTATTCTAAAAATAGATTCTGCTTCACCTGTTCTGATTTTTGGACAGGCGATTAGGAAGTACACATTAAACATGTAATTAATAAACCAGCGGATTACATGCAATACTTTTAGAAATGCTATACAATTGTAAGAAGCAAACAAGTTGAAAATGGAATTTAGTGTGAAGTTGAAAAGTACAACTAAACACTGTAGTGCTTAAGTGACATTTTAATTAAAATAAAAACGATGTGCTCTGGCCTCTACATCTTTACCTTGTTAATAAAAATAATCTAAGAAATACACTATTAATTGCTGATGATTTTAACCAATTTTTTTTAATGAGACATATCCAAGAGAAATAAAAATACAACTTATATTTTATTGTCTGTATGCCCACTATAATATAACACGAAGCAATTCTAAATAGCATTCTCAAATGTATAATGTATTATGTTTGAAGTTTATTTGCCTGGATTTATTCTAGAAATATTTCGTTGATAGTTTTTTTCTATTTACATATCATTTCTTAGAATAAATCGATAAGGACACTGATTTACAAGTTTGACCTGAGTTTTTAGGCATAAATTTCATTCTGTATTTAAGTGTTTGAAAGTAGAAAATCTGAATTATATCAATTTGGGACACAAAATATATTGCTCTACAAATCTCGAACTTGTATGGAACAAATTTTCTCTGTTATATATTTTGTGTTTTTTTGTTTTTTTTTTTTGTTTTTTTCTACAAGAAGCCTTAATTAATGTCTCTCCGGTTGCATGTCCGTCGCATTCAGTGCTGCAGCACTTTGATTTTTGTTTGTTATTTGTTTTGGTTTAGTGGAATATGAGGTGGGGAGAGTTGAAGAGGGTCTCCAGGCTATGACGCAGCGAAATCGGACTGTTGCATGAGCTAATTTGAAGCCAAATAAAAAAATGTGTGCTGGAAACGGTGTTTTTTTTTACCAAAATTGCAATGTGCAAGAACCATAACTCTAGTTTGCTTCCTGAATTATGTCCTTTTCATACTATTCTATTGTTTTGGATCATGATGTAAATTAAAGCATATGACTGATATAAAGGGCAACATGCTTACTTTTGGAGAAACGCATAACTGTCACTACGTCTGTTCGTATATATACGAAATTTTGCTCGACTATTTCTCAGGTACCACTGGCTTTAATCAATTGAAACTTCATAAGTACCAATTTTTTTATTTATTTATTGTTTCATTATAATTGTTGATGTTTTTTTGTTCTTTTTTTTTGTATCTTCTTTTATCATTATTTTCCTATTGCTAATTCTATTCTCTTTAAAGCTGCACGCCTCCAGATGAGCAAAAATATTTCGATAAAATCAAAACTGAGAAAAATATTCTACGATTGTAGGAAAGGTATAAAGATTCAAAATTCTAGTAAAAATTTACATGTTATGCGAGAATAATTAACGTAATTGTCAGTATGTATAACTATATTTCTACTGCGTTACTAACGCAGTAAGGGCTATTTTTTGCATATTTTTACCTCTTTTCAGTAATTTACATAGGTTGTAAGTGCCATTGATAATGTGTAAATTGCATTCTTATGGTAACTTTACAATAAAGTTAAATACATTTTCAAATTTTCATGAAAATTAGCATGAATCTGGAGGCGTGCTGCTTTAATGTTGATGAACAACTTCTTCTTAACGAAAACATACTTCACACTTTTGTTATTGCAAATGGAATAATAATAATAATCTTTTGAACACTTGAAATACAAGTTGTTCGTGATTAAAATGTATATGAGTTTACACATTCAAACATTTATTTAATTGATGTATAACAGGTACAATATATAAAATAAACATGTAAGTAAAAAATAAATTCAGGACTTATTATTTACATCGTATTTTATTGAAACGAAGATAAACCATTTCGATTGAGGAAAAAATGTGTAGTACATGAAAACCATAGAGATGTATTGTACAAAAGACCGATAGGGCCATTTCAACTTCATGAACTTCTCGATTTCAACTTCACGAATTCACGATTTTAACTTCATGACGTTGAAATCGTGAATTTATGAAGTTGAAATCGTGAATTCGTTAAGTTGAATTCGTGAATTCATGAAGTTGAAATCTGGAATTCGTGAAGTTGAAATAGGGAATTCACGAAGTTGAATTCATGAAGTTAAAATCGTGAATTCAAGAAGTTAAAATCGTAAATTCAAGAAGTTAAAATCGTAAATTCATGACGTTTAAATCGTGAATTCGCGAAGTTTAATTCGCGAATTCATGAAGTTGAAATTGGGAATTCGTAAAGTTAAAATCGTGAATTCATGAAGTTGAAATAGTGAATTCACGAAATTTAATTCATGAAGTTAAAATCGTGAATTCACGACGTTTGAATAGTGAATTCGCGAAGTTGAATTCGTGAATTCATGAAGTTGGAATCGGGAATTCGTGAAGTTAAAATCGTGAATTCATGAAGTTGAAATAGTGAATTCATGAAGTAGAAATCGGGAATTCACGAAGCTGAATTCGTGAAGTAAAAGTCGTGAATTCATGAAGTTAAAATCGTGAATTCGTGAAGTTAAAATCGTGAATTCATGAAGTTGAAATCGTGAATTCGTAGAGTTGAAATCTGGAATTCATTAAGATGAAATCGGGTATTCATGAAGTTAAGATGTCCCAACCGGTCTTTCGTGGTATGGCGTTAAATTATCACCTGCCAATATATGAAGATGGTTATGCACCAGGAAACAAAAGCGAGGATGAGAAAATGCACAAATAAGCTGAAAATTAAAGTTTAAAAAAAGTTTAATCTTTAGTTTTAGAGGGCAATAACTCTACAAATACTGAATAAATTCACAAGCTTTTCACCAATTTATCAAATATAATTAATAAAACATTATTAGTAGAATCAACTTTCAAACATCTTAAAGAGTTAATTAAAAATAAATTAGATGCTAATGATGTGTTTGTTATCGAACCTATTACACCATTTGAAATAAAAATTCGCAGACTGGTCTGGATCAAAGCTGGTCGTAAACCCATTATGTTGGTTTTGTCATGACAAGGCTCAAATTAATTAATTTAATGAGCATACACACGGTGCATATCCATATCGGTACCCTCTTTGCGAAATCTGCTGAAACGGTACCCTCTCAGTACATGCACAGGCCACTCTCTGCTCAAAACAAACCAGCGATGGATAACAAGCCAGTAAAAAATCATTGTAATAAGGAAAGAAGGTATGGCACGTAAAAAAGATGTATACCACGGAACACTAGAATGTTTTATCTATGTGCTGATTTGTCATGTGCCCCGTTTTTCATGTACTGCAATTTTACAATAAGCTTCAAAAAATCGACATGTCTTGCTTCGCCCATCACCTCGACATATTTTCGGGCTGAAATGAACCTGTGGCTAGATTATATATGAATCATACATATTCAATATGTTTATTTACATATCATCTTCGGACAAATGGCAGTACATTGTCAAAAATATAATGTTAAATTCATAAAAACACCCTACTTTCGGTTTGCAGCGGCACGGGCTACCCTCTCTTTCATTTTGAATTTTTATATCAAAGGTACCCCTCTCATTTTTAAAACACACACAGGTACACTCAATGCAACGACATATTGCTTTTATTAGCGTTAATCGTTAAAGTATGAATATTTACATAAAAGTAAGAAATATTGCATACATATCGATTAACGCAAATAAAAAGCGTATGTCGTGCTTGAGGGTACCTACGTGTGTTTAAAAATGAGAGGGTACCTGTGATATAAAAATTCAAATGAAGAGAGGTAGCCCGTGCCGCTGCAAAACCGAAAGTAGGAGTGTTTTATGAATTTAACATTTATTTTTGACAATGTACTGCCATTTGTCCGAAGATGATATGTAAATGAACATATTGTATATGTATGATGCATATATAATCTAGCCACAGGTTCATTTCAGCCCAAAGAATATGTCGAGGTGATGGGCGAAGCAAGACATGTCCGATTTTTTGTAGCTTATTGTGAATTTGTAGTACATGAAAAAACGGGCACATGACAGATCAGCACATAGATAAAACATTCTAGTGTTCCGTGGTATACATCTTTTCTACGTGTCAAACCTTCTTTCCTTATTATATTTGAAATTTTACTGTATGGTTATCCATCGCAGGTTGTTTTTAGCAGAGAGTGGCCTGTGCATGTTGGCAAAGAGGGTACCTTTCAGGCAGATTTCGCAAAGAGGGTACCGATATGGATATGCACCGTGATACAATATCATGATCACTTAACAAAATCTACTTAAAGTAACAGAAAAGTTTAGATATTTGTATATGTTGTCTCCCCATGAGCTTCCGGGATCGTGAGCACCAATGGTGGTCTCGTTATTTTAAACAACACTTATAAAATGTCATTTATATCACAGTTTATTCTTATGGTGAAAATTAATGAAATTTTAAAAGCAGCTTTTAAGTGGGATAAAACACGGGCCACAGGTCTCAAATATCAGAGAAATTTGAATAAGAAAGATTGTTTCCGAAACTCCTTTAGATAATTTAGATCCTCTCCGGAATTTACGCTGATCCAGATGTGCACTATAACGCCATATGTGAAAGAGAAAATAGGTCAAGCACAGGGTAAAATTTAACTTTTTAAACATTTATATAAAATTGAAAGCTATTTACAATAAAAAAGGAAACACTTTTCCATTTCCATTTATATACTGTGTAAGGCTAACATTTTAGCTCCTCAATACGTTATGTTTGTATACCGCAAATGACGTAACGTCAACTAGCAATGCCGTTTTTATGGAGTTGCAAAAGCGGCACAGGTATGTAATAAACTTCCTAATTATATACTATATATCATATATAAACTAGTATATATAATGTATATACTTCAAACGAAAGCTCAGCTACAAGGCTAATGAAGATGTCCTTGCAAGTCTTCTTTGTTGCCCACGCGTCACTCACCATTTTGCTGCAACTCTCTTAACGATTTGCCAAACTGTTTTTTTATTATCTCTTCAAAATATCTCTTTTTGATATCATTTGCCACTTCGCTGTTACTCCAGTAGGCTGTCGGTTTCTTCGTGAGTAGAACACACCATGATTCGCTTATCAATTTAAATTTAACGTCTTCAAGGACAACAAATAGGACACAGTTTCTGCCAAGTTCTATGCTGCGATCGACGGCAACGTCCACTTGGAACTTACACCATTGGTCTTTCATTAAGTTATCTGATACAACTACAATCACGTTCCTAGACGCGTATATTGCGTCAAGAATGACGTCAACAAGAGCGCCATTAGTTGCGTTGCGTTTCCAGATATGAAGCTTATATCCCAATTGGTCTTCCATAAAACTGCGAAAAGTATGGTGTACAAATGAGTCATCTTCATTATTATAAACAACATATCCGTCAAATTGTATTTTGTCCACAAGAGGTGTTGTTTCACTATCTACAGCCCTACAATCTCTTCGTCGTCTGCTGATCTTATACCAATAGTATTGAATATACCAACGGTTCCAGTAGCCCGTTGCAAACAGTATTGAAAACACAAATAAGGAACACCCTGCAGCTATAATGGCCACTATGATAGGGCTCATATGTTCGCATTCATCGACTGGTTCATAGTCTTTGAAACTTTTGTCGCTAAGTTTTTGTGGACTTCGACATTTGTACTTTTCCGGCCAATGCAGGAGCTTTATATTTCCTACATATCCATGTTCATTAACGTGGTCCCTGAACCACAGCATATCGCACCCACATGAAAACTCGTTGTCACTGATATCCAGTTCTTTCAGAGAATTCTTAATACTTGACGGGAAAGAATATTCATTAATCGTGTTGATATCTCCCTCCGCCGCAGAGATGTATCGTATACTTAGCCTTAGTGAATCATTTTTGAAGTATTCCGGAAACTGTATCACAGAAAGAAGGTTTCTATTTATGTCCAGGTACCTTAAATGTTCAAAGTGTCTAATTATTTCGGATGGCATCTTTCTCAGACTTATATGTTGTGCTTTAAGTATTTCAAGTTTGGTTAATGGCGAAAGAATCGTAACTATCCTGGACTCTGTCATATTCGTAAAGAAATTGTAAGAAATATCAAGCCATTTGACGTTAGGGCACAATTTGAATATGTGTACCGCGTCCGGTTTTCTGAAATCGATCCTGTTGTATCGAAGGCTAAGATTTTGTAAAGAGGTACTATTAAACGCGGCTAATTCTATTGTCTTAAGCCATGGGATCATGTTGTCAAGATACAGATGTGTTAGGCGGGTCAAATTAATAAACGTATTGTTTTTTAGTTCGGACACGTCATTTTTGCTGAAATCTAGTGATTGTAATCCGGTCAAACATTTCCATCTACTTATCATTATCTTCTGTATGTAATTTCTGCTGAAATTTAACGCTCGTAACGCGGGAAATGTATTATTAGAGGAAATGTTACATAAGTTAGGCGGAAACACTGCGATTTCATTTTTCTGGAAGTCAATCGATTGAAGTTTATCGGGTAACTTTCCTATAGTAACGTCTTGAATCCAATTTGAGGAAAGTTTAAGCGTTTTTAATGACGTCAGGTTCGAAAGTGATGGCATATCCACAGTCTTAATGGAATTGTTCGATAAGTCAAGGTGCTCTAAGCTTTTTAAACAGATCAAATTCTCGAAGATTGTTCCTATTCGGTTATTTACCAGAAGCAAATTGTTTAAATTTGGAAAATACGAGCTACCATTCGTTAAACAAAAGTTGACTGTCGTCAGATGATTAGAACTCAGATCAAGGTTACGAAGACTATTCAAAGTCTCATTTCCGGTCATGTCTCTGATCCAGTTACCCCTTAAGCTTAGTTCTTGTAAAGACGTCAACAACTGTAGGACTGTTAAGTTCATATTCGTAATTATGTTGTTTTCGAGCGACAAATTCTGTAGATTTGCTCTGTTTAGATATCTGAAAGATGTTTCATTGACATCGCTTATTTGGATTATTGTCAAAGGTCAAATGTATGGGCAAGGATTGCGGTAAGCTGCCAAGAGCAACATATAAAGAGGTATGGTTTATCTCTTCGTTATCAGTTATTTCAAGAAAAGTAAGGTTAGGGAATAAATGGAAAATGTCGTCTGCTATAGTCCCTATTTCATTCCGCCAGAGAGAAATTTTCGTTAGATTCAAACGTTGTATGTTTTGAAAAGACTGACGATTAAGGACCGATAAATTGTAACATTTGATTTTAAGTTCTGTGATATTGTCATCTAGTGCAGGTATAATTGTGGAAGTGATATTTCCGATGCATGTTGCAGCTTTTCCAGCGCAATAACATTCATTGTTCCCACAGTTTGTAAGCCTAGTTTTATAGTGGAAGATGTCATCACAGGAATGTTCTTGACCAAAAGATAGATTAACGACGAAAACGCACCATGCGAAAACAAAAGCCAGTGCGTTCATATTGAAATGATTCGCGATGTGTCTTGCTTCCAGGCAGAACAAAAAAATATGTAGTGTCGATGATCAAAGACCACGATACCCTCTTGTAATATTTCTTTGACAGATCACCTTCAATAAACAAAATAAAAACATCAAGAAATACATTTGTATAATCAATAAAAATGTGAAATGTAAGACTAAGACTTTGCAAAATAATACATATAATAATAATCGACATTGAATACAATTGAGACTGTACTTGTTTTGGCATTTTAAGATAAAAGTGCATTGTATGAGAAACTTTTGTTTTGTCAGCTATCTTACAACATATTCACATGTGTGGCTCAGTACCCAGCCTTATTGCCTATGCTAGCAGTTTTAACTGTTCTAATTTGTTCAATTTGTTCGTCGGTTACTGCGCCATCATTGACCAGCACACTAGCTAGAGGTTGAAATGTTTAATGAAATTAGAACAACAATTATTACCGAGGTTGACACATTTAATGACGATGGAAATACTAATACATGCACTACATTTGATAAACTAAATATGCCGATTACATCTAAAACTGCAGTGATGTATAAGGCTGGTTTGGCATTATACTGGTGGGCAAAGGGTTCTGATCTTCGGTTTCAACAGTGTTAAGAGTTAATTAATAATAGTTTTAACGAAAATTTTGGTAATTATATTGGGGTATTCGGCGGGCGGTTGCAAATTTAAACAGAGAAATGCATTTCTGTTCTCAACTCCTGATACATTTTTCAAGGGATTTTTACCAAACTTCCACAGAAACATTTTTGGCAGAATTATTATCACTTGCTGTTTTTTTAAACCAAGAGAAATACACTTTGTTCTCAATTCTGATCATATTTTCAAGCGATTTTAATTTTACAGATGTTTTGTCATCAAGTACCATGGTAAATCAATCTAACTAAAGTTCAGATCTACTTATTTCTTTTATGTAGATCTGTTTACGAATGTATATATGCTTCACCTTCTTTATAATTCGGATTTCACGAGAAAGCTATTTTAGCCATGCAATCAAATCGGTTTTTACATAGGCCGTTAGAAATATATCGTTATCCGTGGAAGTTAAACAAATTGTTGATTTTTGTTAGAAAAAAAATGTTCGAAGTATTTATTTTACAAATTAACTTGAAATAATGGAGTCAATTTTAATTGGCAAGATTGTTTTGCCAGTTTACCTGTCGGCTATATGGACAACGGCAAGTTTGTCCTCGAAATAGTGACAACTCAATATTGCCATGTTAAAATTATAAATCACATCGCTTTTAAAATTATGAAAGCTCGCTGATGATTGGTTATGTAAAGGATCATCAGAAATAACTTCGTAAATGGTCACTGTTAGATCTTAAAGCGGAGCACTATTCAGAGCTAATTTTAATCAGATTGCATGGCACATATTACCGCGTTTTTCTTTAATTCAAACATTTTGGCAGAGTTATTTCTCTTTGTTTAACCTTTTACCTCATATAGACGTGTTTTGACGGCTTTTGCACCCCACCCCCTTTTGAGGCCTTAAACAGTGAAAAAATGCTCTATTTAAACCCAAACACTGTTTTTCGTTTGAGAAATGTTGTTAAAAAGTGTTCACTTTTTCGGCGCCGCCCCCATCAAAATGGTACATCAAGGGGTTGCCAGAAGGGGGATGTGCCCCCTTCTGTTTGGGGGTTTGAAGGGGGCGGTATTCCCCATCATCGTCAAGAAAAGTTTGGACATATGACAGGCTAAAAATGACCTCAGGTCGATCCTAAGGTAATGTGTAACCAATGCTGAAAAGCCTTTTACTCTGTCTCAATCCATTGAGAAGTTGCAGCACTTTGAAATCAGTTTTGATGGAAAAAACAATGCAAAATAGTTATTTTTCGCAATTTTGAGACGCCCCCCCCCCCGTTGCCATGGTAACAGGAAATTTAGGATACAGAGGCTATGATCCAGTCAATATTAGTGCCAAGTTTCATTAGTATTGGTGCATTTTTTTCAAAGTATCATAGCATTTTGAACTTGTAACAGAAGGCTTTCAATGAAAAATGCCATTTTTTCACGATATGCTCATGCGGTAAAAGGTTGAGAAAAATCAAAAACAAGATTACACACGTCTGTATTTCCTCAAGCGCTTTTCACTAAACTAAACTAAACAGAGGGTTCACTATTAAGAGCTCTGGCGCATGTCATTTTTTGCGAACTTTTGGGCAGAGTTATGACCCTTTTTTTATATATATTGGTTATTTGTAAATCCTTAATTTACATAGAACTTTATGTATTTTTTTTAATATATAGGAGTAATAAAGTCAAAATTAAGCTTTTAAAACACCTAATTTGGTTTCCTTTATAGAACATTTAGATTCGACTCAAGAACGCTTCCGTACCAAAACACTTCTATAATATATGGAGAAATGCACTCTCTGCGTGCAACTTTTATTTTATTTTTAAACTACTTAAGCGATTATATCAGATTTAAAGTTTATACATATCTTAGTCATGCATCATAATATCATAACATTATAGTAAACTGTACAAATTCCATGACAATGACCAACATTTTTACAGAATTTTTGCATTTTTCAGTCTTAAATTTTAAGTTTTAGTCACAGACGGCTTATAGGAGTAAATCAGTGTCACTGATAGCTCCGGTTTGATTTCTGCTATGTTAATATATAATATATAAATGCATAATAAATTATGTATATATAAAAGAGATAATCAACAAGTAAATGTACAAAAGAAAAAAAATAAAGCAACATAATATAGTACTACAATCTAACGAATAGATTTGTTTAATGAATAAAATGAATTTGTTCTTTAGTTTATTGTTTGTAAAGATAAATATCCCATTAAATATAATTAGTAAGAAACATTACATATACAAATTCATATTCATCAATATATCATATATATTATATATGTAAAAAAATGAAAGGAGATTATTCCTCCAGAAATGCTCGAATTGCAAAATGCTGACAATATAAACCAGGGTGCTGACAATATGCACCAGGGTGGTTGAAAACCTGGTTGAATCGTCACATTTTGCTTTTCTTGTTATAATGATTTTACACCAATGAATCATCTAAAAGCGATTACAATATTTTCCGGTCGACGATAGTTAATAGTAATTCAAGCTGAAAGATATTAAATGTTTTTAGTCTTATAAGGAAATTAATCTTGAAAAATGTTTAAACTGAATTATTTTCCGTCAGCATACAAAACGAATTTAAAACAAACGATAACCCACGTACCGTCTTGACCTGTCATGAACGAAAATAATGCATCCAAATAATACGATAAAAAGACAAATCAAACAATTGTTTGTGTGAAATATGAAGATCGATGTTTTAAGTGTTTTAAAAAAAACTGTAGAAGAAATGTTACCTCAATCTCCAAATCGAACTTCCCTTATACATATAAAATCACATGATTTAATATCATGATGTTAATCAGAAGAGGAAGTTAAAATATTGTTAAGTGAAGAGTTTATTAACACACGATCTGTGTAAAATGGTATAACATTCACGCGAAGTTAAGATATCCGCACTTTAAAAAAATGATGTTTGATATTTGATAAATATAACGTTACAGATCAGCACCACAAACACCCGCACTGATTTTGGACATGGTTTTAGACATGCGCAACTCATTATTGAAATGTTCGTGTTATTTGTTACACCAATCATTCTTTTTTTATTTACATAAGATGTATAAAACTAGGCTAATAGGAAAGATAAGGGGAATTCTGTATTGATTCATGTATGACATCTTTCTTAATCAACTTAACGGTGTAATTTAGGTCATTAAAAATAAGTTTGAAAGAATGATATTTAGAACAGTACAAAATCGCAACGGACGCGTTTTTTGTGTGATTTGAGATACAGTATATATATATATAAACATATATTTAAAAAAAGAGAAATAACGCTCCCTAATATTTGAAGATTTTTGTACTTTTGGAATCATTGCTTATAAAATAAAAAAAAATATCACATTAGAAAGCAGATGTGCAGTCTGCTTTGATAACACACATTTTAAGTACCTACTTCTTTATAAACTGAATACGTGTCCTAGATAATAAGTATAATGCTTTTTTAATGTGCTAAATGTCATTCTCCATGATATCAAACTTTTTACGATTTAATTTTCAAAGTCGTTGCCAACATGGAAAAATAGCAATTAAGTTTTAAAATAATTGTAGTAAGATACCAAAAATAAAAAAGTTTTTGAACAATAAAAATGAAAGCATTTCTGATGCATGATGGGCCTTTAAAGGAATACAAACATTGAGGAGTCAAACTATATACTGCATTCTTGTAATATTCGGATCGAGCAGGGTAGTTGACAAAATTTGAGCCGCGTCACGACAAAACCAACATAATGGGTTTGCGACCAGCATTGTTCCAGACCAGCCTGCGCATCCGCGCAGTCTGATCGGGATCCATGCTGTTCGCTTACAAACCCTATAACAAGTAGAGAAACTGAAAGCGAACAACATGGATCCTGATCAGACTGCGCGGATGCGCAGGCTGGTCTGGATCCATGCTGGTCGCAGACCCATTATGTTGGTTTTGTCGTGACACGGCTCAAATTGTTGCTGTAATGTATACACCACTTGACACTTGAGGAAGAAGAAAAAGTTTATTTCGGTAACTTATACAATTAAAGTATCTCGTTCCATACAGTAATTACAAATACTTCACGTCTGTAGAAAAGGAACTTGGAATGCAAGTAAATATTGATAAAATATTGAAGAAGAAGTAGAATAAGGAGAAGAAGAAGAAGAAAAATCTTAATTTACTTTTAGAAGCGTTTGCTTACTTTTTTGAAAAGCCGAATAGACAAAAATGGTGTACTTTTAATTTCTAAAGATACCTCTGTTGGACCGTATTTGGTACAAAAACGAATATGGTACAAATGTACCATATTCGGTCGAATATGGTACAAATGTACCATATTCGGACCGAATATGGTACAATTTTCGACCGAATATGGTACAAACATTGTACCATATTCGGTTGGAATAAGTTTTTCATATGCTCGCCAAAACGTATTTGGTACATACCAAAAAAAACTCATAAAATGAAAATGGCCTACGTATATGGTACATAAATTATGTATTTCTTAATAAATGAAATAGTCTGCCGATGTGTAAACTTTTTTTTCAAACCAAATACATTGTAATTAACCTAATATTGGAAGTGACAAAAGTATCATCATCATCATCATCATCATCATCATCATCATCATTCGTCGTCGTCGTCGTCGTCGTAACTAGCAGTAACAGAAAAAGCTAACCTAACCACACTTTACATGGATTTTGCTGGTTGTGTAACTGTTTCGCCGGCTTATCTCAGTCGTTGCGCGTCAGATTGGCACGCAGGCGGCCTGGGTTCGATTCCCGGCGCGGCCAGATACTTTCGTGGAGATTGGTCACGAAATGATTTCTACGGCCATTCTTCCCCTACCGCTGTTCAAGTAGGGCAGTTGTCAATTACTGGCGAATGTATCTGCTTAGTAGCTGGTTACTAAGTACTAGTACTCTAAGACTAGAGACGTGCTTGCTCCCAGGTAACTCTGTAATGCTACAGTTGGATTAAAATTTAAATGCTGTTCTATGTTCTTCAATATTACTTTGAAAAATCCTGTCAGTATACCAATAAAATGAAAAAAGTACAAGTTTGTTGAATCTCTTGAATGAACAAATTATAAAATACAAAATGTAAAATGAATATGTGATGATGATGATGACAAAACATTTGTGATGATGATGATGGTTAAAAAAATTTGTGATGATGATGGTGGTGGTGATGATGATGACAGTGGTTATGATGATTGGGGTTTGATGATTGTGGTGATGATGATGATGATAATGATGATGATGATGATGATAAACAAACGTTTTGGGATGATGATGACAGCGATGTTTATCGGACGATGATGATGGTTATAATGATGATGATAAGATTTTAGATGATGATGACGGCGATGTTTATCGGCCGACGATGATGATAATGATGATGATGATAACAAAATTATTGTGATGATGATGATGGCGATGTTTATTGGCGATGATGATGATGATATTCTCATCGTCGTCATCATCATCACAACAATCCTCATTATCGACCGAAAAACATCGCTATCATTATCATCAAAAAAAAAACTTTTGTGATCACCCATACGATCATGATAATGGATATTGATGATGTTGGTTTTGATGGTGATGATGATGGTGGTGTTGGTGATGATAACAACGAGGATGATCATTGGGGTGTTGATAATTGATGTGATGATGATGATGATGATGACATAACAAAACTATTTTGATGATTATGACAGCGATGTTTATCGGTCGATGATGATTATTATAATGATGATGATTATGATTACAAATGTGTTTTGATGATGCTGACGGCGATTTTTATCGGTAGATTATGATGATGATGATGTGCTGACCGTCGTGTATCATTCATTACAAACTTTTGGTCATCATCATCACCATCGACCCGAAAACATCGCAAAGTTATCATCATACAATTTTGTGTATCTTCATTACGATGATGAAAATGGTGTGATGATGATGGGTTGATGATGAGATGACCTTGATGATTGTGGGGATAATGATGGTGATTGATGATGAGAAATGATGATAAAAGTTATGTGATGATGATGATGACCCGGGTATTTTTGGATTCGTCGTCATCATCATCAAAACTCTTTGTCATCATCATGACGATGATGATGATAATGGCGTTAATGGGTGACGATGATGATGATGATGGTGTTAATGGTGACCGATGATGATGGTAATTGATGATGATGACAATGGTGATGATGATTGGGTGTTTGATGATTGTGATGATGATAACTGCGATGTTTATCGGCCGATGTATAATGATAATAATGATGAATGATGAAAAAAAGTTTTTTATTATGTGACAGCCAATGATTACCGGCCGCCGATGATGATGATTTATGATGATGATGATGATGCTGCTGATGATGATGATGATGATGACGATGATGATTTATTTTCATGATGGTATGATGACGTTGATGCAAATTGTAGTTATGATGTGATGATGATGATGATGATGATGATGATGACGATGATGATGACGATGACGATGATGATGATGATGACGATGACGATGGTGATGATGATGATGATGATGATGATGATGATGAATGATGATGATTGATGATGACTATGATGATTATTTTCATGATGGTATTGATGACGTTGATGCAAATTGTAGTTATGATGATGATGATGATGATGATGATGATGGTGATGGTGATGATGATGATGGATGATGATGATGATGATGCATGATGATGATAATGATGATGATGGTGATGATGATGATGAGATAACGATGATGATGATGATGATGATGACGATGATGAGTGTGTACATAATTTCGGAACGAATGTGGTACATTTTTCATCCGAATATGGTACAAGTTTGTACCATATTTGGTCAGGCATTTTACCCCAAAACTGCAGATACGTATATGGTACAATTAGACAGTTGTACCATATTCGGCCGAATATGGTACAAATTTGTACCATATTCGTTTTTGTACCAAATACGATCCGACATACCTCTTTATTGCCAACAAGATGTTATTGGACATTGAGAGGGTAAACTGCATGAATTCGTTAAAAAGAAGAGTTCTTTCATTTCGATATTTCGAAAAAGTAACTAAAAACGCGTAACATCTTCTATCTAATAACCACACGAACAACTTGCATCGTGGGACAAAGACTGCAGAATAAGAAAAAAATAAAATGCATGCATTTTTCAGTTTGCAATTTAAAACAGGGCGTTTTATTTCACCTGTCAGGTACAACGTGTAGACGGAAAAGTAACAGTATAGAGAAAAACGGAATCCGGAAGCATGTGAAAAACGCCGACATGACACAATTGAAAATGTTGATAGAGCCTATTCATGGACGGAACTGGAACGTGAAAGTTTTCGTCAACACCCCCTACCACCGGCTTAGCAGAATTCAACATTTAATCATGGTAATGGTTAAATTGATATAAAAGATGACACAGTTTTTTCACAGATCTCGTTTATAGTTGCAACTTGTTCAATAACATTACAGAGGAAAGCACACAAAAATATCTGTATATGAAAAATAGGTTTTTAATGAGAGCCAAATAATTGTCTTATATAAATTTCGTAGAGAAACTAGACTTGTTAGACAGCTAGCTGACACTTCTCACTGCTTCAGGCTGTGTTAAATCAATTGTATCGTTTTTGTATTTTTTTGTGTACATCTATCCCATACTACTGATGCATATACCAAAATTGATGCATATACCAAACGAGATCTAAGAACTGATGCATATATCAAAAGAGGTCTAACAAACTGATGCATATATCAAAAGAGGTCTAACAAACTGATGCATATATCAAAAGAGGTCTAACAAACTGATGCATATATCAAAAAAGGTCTAACAAACTGATACATATACCAAAATAGGTCTAAGAACTGATGCATATATCAAAAGAGGTCTAACAAACTGATGCATATATCAAAAGAGGTCTAACAAACTGATGCATATACCAAAATAGGTCTAACAAACTGATACATATACCAAAATAGGTCTAACAAACTGAT